TCACTATGAAAGCCTTAAAAGGATACTCCTGTAATATGTTGCAGCCTCATAACGTGGCAGGACTCACAAAAGGCACACTGAACAAAAGCTGTCAGAATAAATGCATATTAGGCTAATGGATTAAGCTAAGAAAAAAAGAGCACCTCCATTTACTATAATGCTACTAACAGTCTGTCTCCATATGATAATCTATCTCTGGATATCCCCATATTTTTCATGCTTCCTGTCAATGTAAGGCAGGCTTGCAAAATATGAAGTCTTTGTTTAATGTAAGAAGACCCAATGACATTACCTTGAATGGCATTAAAGGAGCCACAGAAGACGCAAGAAGAATTCTAAACATGCAGACTTGGTTTTGCAACTCCTCATTTACCTTATGGGTCTGGACAAGTCAGTAAAACCCAAGTCAATGATGGAGCCTTCACCGGTCTAGGCACTGAGGAACAGAAGCAATTGTGCAACTGCAAAGTAATAAAATTTAATAATTTAACAGGCACACAGCAAAACTATCAAAAACGCTTATTCATGAAGATGTTAAAAACCCATAGGAGTATGCGAAAAATAAAAACTTAAAGGAGGAAAAAAATAAATACAACAACAGACTGGGAGGCTTGCTTTCCATTTTAATCAACTGCTAATGACATGCAGCAGTATCGTCCCGTAAAGCCAACAGAGGTTAAAAAATGGCCGCCAGTAGTTCTTTTAAAATGTAACTGCTGTATCATGGCATCCTGTCTTTGCTTTGTCCCTAACAAAGTACTGTTAAAAAGGAAATATCAGAAGGCTGGATGTGCTCTGTCACGCTAGCCTCACTTACAAGAAACACGCTAATGATCCAGTTATGTTACGACCATCTGAGGAATGTCGCCAAGATATGCTCAGTAATGATTTTTGATGGCACAAACTATCACTCATCCTTTTATTTCCCTCGCTGCTGGATTATTGTGATGGTCTCTAAACCAGTATAAATCAAAAATCAATTATTAGACTCCAAACCAAGAACAATAAACACAATGCCAATTTCAATCACGCTTCATTGGCTGTCTTATTGTTATAGGATTATCTTAAAGGTTTTACTTTAAAGATTTTCATGCAGTATTTGGCTCCAGTTTGTGGTAAAGTTTACTTATTCAAGGAGTATACACACAAACACACACACACACAAACACACACACACACACACACACAAACAACTACTCTGATTTCTGATTTAGCAGGATCTACAAATTACTGGAGATGTCTGTTATTATTAATAGGTCTGTAATTCTTTAAAATAAATATAATCAGTATTTACTACTGTAAATAATTATGTATGTATTTTTTTTCAATGTATTAGTATTGTTATGCACTAGTTTGGCAAATATTTTCTGTTGTACATTTATCAAAATTATGTCTTTTGACATTTTAATTAATTTTTTTTGAAAAATGACTAATCAGTTACAAGTTGCTAATTTGTAATTAGTAACTAATCAGGAAAATCCATGCTGGCACTGTTTTGGAAATCATGATTAGTTATTTCTCAGTTTTTGCATGTTGTTGGTAGTCCAGGAAAAGAAGAAGAATGGGCTCTACTCTCAGAGGTGACGGAGGCAGAAATCTAGAACAAATAGAAAACACAGAATTTACCAAATCTGTCAAAGCCCCCAAAGCACCCGAGTATGTGCACATGTTTCATATACTGCATTAAGATAAAACTGACACAAATGCACCACCACAGCCCACGAGCTACGTTTAAATTCTTCCTCTGTTTTTAATGGCATATCCACCTACACACCCAACCACAAAACACCTTATTGATTACAGGAAAATTACATGAACCATTTGTCTGACCAACAGCAACTGTTTGTAGTTCTATATAGTTCTACGAATAGGGTTTGTATATTGTAAGAATTACTGCAATAATTTTTTAAAGAACTGAGTCTTTCACTTTTTTTCCTCTCTGTCAATTTAGTTTAGTTTTGTACCGCTTGAAGAAAGGGCTGCCCAAAACAACACATCATCATCACTATAAGAACATGAATGAAGTGCAATAAATAAAAAAACTAATTTTAGCTACGCACAGCTTGGGTTCGATCTAACAAACAAACAAGTAAGATTGCCCTCTCTATGAAAAGATGTGATTTGCCAAACCTTACCCATCACATCATCAAAAGCACTGAAAACAAAGCCAAGAAGATTTGCACAAGCCTTCACAGACTGCCTGGGCTACAATATGCTGAAAGGTTAAAATGGAATTTTCACCCAATGATGCCAAAAAAAAATATTGTGCACCACAGCTACATCCATATTGCTGAAGGTACACTTTTTCTGCAAACTAGCATTTCTACTGCTTGTTAGAGAAATAAAATAAATAAAACAAAAAAGTAGAATTAGAAATATAAATATAAATACTCACTTGGCACTAGAAGTCTCCAAGAGCAAGAAATGGCACGTGTGGCTAGGTTTTTGGGCTTTTTTGTAATTGCTTTGTTCAGTGTGGGTCCATTAAAGGGCAAATGATTTTCAGTTCTGAATGATTTATGTTCAATAAAGCTACTTTGAAAGTGATTGCTAACCATAAATCATTACATATTCTACTAATTTCATCACAAGCAGCCCTGCTGCGCACATCCTCCACACCGGCAAACCCACAGAGCACACGGGCACAATCGAATCATTAAACGCAGTAGCTCAAACTTGACCTCAAACCTCAGTTCTACAAGAGCCCCATGAATGGGACCTCCACGCAACCGTGCAGCTTAAGTGGGAATAAGCACCCAAGTGTGTTCAGGGCTGTCAAACAGTGGCACTTTCAGCCAGTAATAGGCCCGTTATTAGGTGGGAGTGAAGAAACCGCAGAGTCAACAGAGGATAAAACAGAGCGACCGATCAGGGTAAATAAGTGGCGGAAGAACCAAATCGGCAACTGGGGCATCATAACACATCAGAGATTCCTTACCCCCCTCTCTCCTTCCTTCATTCCCTTTGCTCCATTGGCATGCTCTCCCCTCCTCTTCCAGCAACACCCGCCCACTCCTCCCTTCCCTCCTTCCATATCTCTCTCTCCCCCACTCAGCCTTTGAAGATGCTTTGTTTTCAGAGTTGCCTCTAATCTTCAAATAGGGTGATCTAATAATGGCTGTAAGAGTGTGTGTGTGTATGCGAGCAAGTTTGGATGCACTGAGCAGTGCGAGTGTGCATTAATACCTCCTGCACATGTATGCAAAATGCACACACATGGGTAAATGTGCATGTGCGTGTGTGTGTCTGAGCATAGCCAATGATGGAATCGTGCATGTTGATGCTCCCCAACGCAGTGCCCTCGGTGCTGTTTAGATGTCACGCTGGGCCTGTGTCTGTCTGAGATGGGTGGTGGGGGAGACAACCCTGTGTGTGCCTGTGTGTAAGTGTGTGTCACAGCATGATGGCTGGTACAGTCAACACACACAGACAGTTGGATACCAGCAGTCTCTGGAGGCAAAGAAGGGCACGAAAAAAAAAAAAGACAGAGAGAGCAAATGTAGAACAAAGACTTGAATGTAAAAGTAAATACAGAGTTGATGTTTTAAACTCTCTTCCTGTGAACCGAACAAACCAGAGGAATCGAGATGGAAGCTGTGGTTTTCTTTTCTTCTCCAGGACAAAATTCAAGCTCTGCATCTGACAGCAATCCTAGAATGCGCCCGCCACTTTCTGACCTCCATGTATGATACTTTCAAGCATGAATATTATGTGCATAATACCCAGAGAGACTGAAAAAAGTCAATTTACAAACTCTCTTGTCTATTCGCCCTTCTTACATCCAAACAAATGTATCCATTAGAGTGAAAAGATTGCCTTTTAGGAAGGGGGGAGACCTTGACAACGAGCTAGAACGAATACATATATAGCTGCATCCAACATCCTTTCCCTTGAAAGAATTTGGAGCAGTTGCAGAGGCAGCAGCAGCAGCCAAAGCCCATTTGGATAGTAAGAGAAAAAAAAACTCTCGTAAGGCAAAGACCTAATTGAATTGCTTCTGATGGAAAGAGAAGCTCAATACCCTTTTACAGGTTTGAGTAAAGATGGAGGGACGAGTGGAAGGGCATAAAAGTGGAGAGATGGAGAGAAAGCGAGAGGCGATCAGCGTGGCGGTGGGGGGGGGGTGATGACAGGAGGACAATAATCAAGATGGACAGACAAGGAGGGTGGGAAGGAGGAGGGAGGGAAGAGGGATGGGAAACAAAGAGAAGATGACAAAAATAGAGGGGGGTGTGGTAATGATGGAGATAGGTGGAGGCAAGGCAGAGACAGGGGGAAAAGAAATAATAGGAGGGACAGAAAACTGAGAGAAGTCCTGGTTAATAGTTTGGATTCTCACATCAGCTCATCCCTTTCTTGTTGCCTTTAAAGGAGGAAACAAGCTCACTCTTGGCAACACAGTATGAGTAACTGATCGGGCACCAATGTGCCTGACTAACTGACAGCCTCTCAATAACAGCACTGGCCTTGGTTCCTTGAACACATCACAGACAACCTACACTCCCTCTGGCATGCAGTCCCACACAAACACACGAGGCTCCTTCAATAACAAACAAAACAAAAACAAAGCAATAAACCAGGACCCTGTATGTACACAACATCAGGCTTCCACACATGCACACACCACACTCTCGCCTGCGGCATTAAGGCCATCCTGCCACATCTAATAAACTCTGAGGATGGATTCAGTGGAACACGGCATGGTGTCAACTTTGCTCTGCTTAGACAGCATCTGTCTTAAGCCTAATTTTCAACGCGTCTGTTGTGTGGCTCAGGAAGTACAATCTGCGACTTCTTACGGCCCTTTCAATTTGTTGCAATTAAGCTCTATTGATTTCCATTTTGACTTTAACGAGCCAGCGTCACTCTGTCGCACATTTAAAGCCTCGCACGGAAAGATTCTTTCATTTTATTAGCAGCTCTCTCGGGTCACTGGTGTGAACACAAGAATGAAGTGGGGGGAGGTGCTGGGGTGGAGTGCGGGTGTCGGCGTCTCTCACCAGAATCCTGTCCTCTGACTTGCCGCTCCTCATGTCCTGCTTGACGGCTCGCACAAACTTAATGGCTTGTTTGTCCAGCACCTTTCTGATGCTCTCTGGAAAGAAGGCAGAGAGGGAAAGACAAGGATAAAAAAAAGGAGCACTGATTACATAATGTAAACACATTACAGAAAAAAGTTTACAGTCCTGAGATGCTCTGAGAAATGCTTTAAAAGGCTTTCAAGAGGGTAAATCGGTAAATTAGAACATAAAGCATGATGAAAAATGGAAAGAAAAAAACGGAATAAGAATGAGATGCACCAGTTTTCTTTCCAAATACTGATTCTGAGTATCCATTCAATATAAGGGCTCTTGTTCTTCACTGTCTGAAATGCATTGATCGGGCCACTCCTGCATATCAAAGTAACATGAGGGTGACAAAAGTCAGTAGAGGGCTTCAGCTGTTAAAATGCTGTCTAAAGGTTTAGAGTGATTACTAACTTCTAGTAACTGATAAATAAAACAATACTGTGCACAAGAGGCTGCTGTCATACCCAGCCCAGAAGGGAAGTGGAATCACTAAACTGCAGTGACTCAAAGGCAACTTTTAATGTGAATTGTGATAATACAGCACCTCCTTAATACAGCGCATCAGACTGAGGCACATCTTTGGAAGAAAATAAATATAGACTAAAGTATATAATCAACCAGCAGTTATTTAAGTTGCTTTAGTCTGCAAGCCACTTTGCAACCCGCCACAAGCCCAACTCCTTTTTTTGTGCTGTATGCGTCTTGATCAGCGTCAATCAATTAATCAATCTCTTCTATGCAGAGGTGTTGCCGCTGTTGTTCCCGCCTCCTACTTTTCACGTTAGGCACATGGAAAAGCAGCGAGGTCCCAAACTACAGTCATGCCACACTATACATATATAAATTACTGCAGATGGCAATAATCTTCTTTTGACTACAGAGGTCTTGGCTGGAATGTGATTAAATCATGCTCCATGCTAAACCCGCTTAATAAAGTTCAGTATCAGTGCTGATGCCAATTCAGCACATTAAAGCTTGATCCCTAATTAACCCTTCGATGTCCAAGCACCCCAGCTATCAGGTGGTGGGGGGTTAAAACCTTTTACATGTGTTGATTAAAGTATTTAGTTTTCTCTTCTTTGCCAAGTCTTGAAATAAAAAGTTTCAGAATCTAAAAACCAGCTGAAATATGTGGTCATCATCAGCAGATAATGCCTCATTTGCCTCGTGTTAAGATTGAAGTCTTCGCATAAAAACGTGACATTTAAGCTGCTAATTTCACGGCAAATAAGTAAAAGAGGCTGATGAAGATCACGTGAGAGCTAAAACACTTCAAGTGATTTTGTCCAACAACTAAAAGTAAAGTGCATAGTAGTTGTGCATTTATGAAGAGGGTAAACTGGATATTTTTCAGCAACTGATGAGACAAACAAGCAGTCTTTACATGACACCTTGTTTGGGTTTTTCTTGTCATCATTTTGATGTATTGTGATGAACATGACAGACTTTGGATTTAGGACACCAACAGGTGACATATTTTTGGAAATAGTCCCAGTGCTTCTTCTGTCTCAGAGCTTTTTAAAAGCTCTAAAGATGTAGTTATCAATCAAAAAATATGTTCATATCCCAGCTAAATCCCCACGACCATCACGTCTTGTGTCTGAGGTGGATTATTCCTTAAAAGACAGCCGCACAGGGGCGAACAGTCACAGAGAAAGGAAGACAGCTTCAAAGACGCCAACATGAGGACAGGCAGACACATATGCAACTCCTAGCTGAAGAGGACTCATAACTGGACTATTTTTAGCCTCAGAGAAGAAAAAAGCAGCCCAGCTCTTCTCAACGGAACCAAACACACAATTCAGAGCTGCGGTCTTTAGGGACTTCTACCCCACCATGCCAGGCAGGCGACCCTGTGAAGCTCACTGAACCGCACCAGAGGCCTCTGCCAATTACATCCCCCCCCAAACAACAACCAACACAATGAACGCTGCTATTCAAAATAACATCAGCCTATAGCCTCAGTGTGGAACCACGCACATATGCCTACAAGCTGTGATATGTTCACAGCACACATCTCAAATGGGGCCATCCGTGCTAAATATGCACTCATGGAGCCCAGCAGATGGAGATACAGCGAGTCATGCTGTGTCACGACGCTCCACTCACAGTCTCCCAACTTTCCCACTGTATCAACCACACACACACACGCACACACAATTCTCACGGTCCCCATCCGGCAACAACCATGAAGTTGGCTCTCACGCTTGACTGAGCAGCGGCAGATGCCAGCAGGATGAGACAGGGATGGGATTGAGAGGGGGGGCACACTCAGGTAGATCGAAAGAAGGATCAGCTGAAGACAACCAGAGAGTTATTGACATTAAGCTGGGTAAGACCCAATCGCTTAAACCTTTTAACGCACTATCCAGCACCCCTCCAAGGCCTGCCGGTGTGACCTCAGCATCTGTTCCCTAAAAAAGGGGCAAGGTGCGGTGGAGATGAAAAACCAGCATGGGTCAGTCCCCCTTTCCACCGTCAGTTCCCTCTAATACACCCTGCCTTTTCTGGCAGTTTGATGGATGTGCTCACTCACCTTCCCCAAGCCTCAGGAACCCCATCTCCCCCACCCCTCCCCATCTGGTCCTCCACTAGCAGGTGTGTTAATGGCCTAATACCGCCTGCCTCTTACAACCAGGCCACACAGAAGGTGCTTGACCAGGTTGAGCTGGTAAACAGCGGGACTTAACTCCATCAGGATAATTAGCGGTGAGAGACACCCTTCATCAACACTCTACCATCCAAACATGGTGTGTTCGTGTGTCCTGTGCTGTCCGATCTCTTCAGCGGGAGACACAGGCTCAGGCTTCCAGCTGTACCCATGCTGCACGAAAAGCGCTTGCAGTCACACAATAACTCCCACGCACACACGTGCAGCGAGAAAAGAAAGCCATTTAAAAAAAAAAAAAAAACTCCTAATGAATGCACAACAAAGCCATGACGCGCTCACACGCACCGCAGCACTTGAAAATAACTCTGACAGCACTACTGGACCCGTGCGCACGATAAATTTCACCGCGGATCTTTATAACAAATCAATCCCAAAGTGAAGACTCCTGCACTGAGATCGCTAGGATTACAGTCCTCACAAGCCCGAACAGCCATTAACTGTGGTTTTGCCTTGGGGAGGCATATCCTGCGTTTCCCTGCGGTGATAACTCCTTTCAAATCAAACGCAGTGGAAAGAGGTTGTTTAAAGAGCAGCTGAGTAAAAGAAAACTACCCGTACGCGTCCCGAGAGCTGCTCTCATCCATCCTCTCGCGTTCTCGGGAGTGCTCGAAGCGGTGTTAAAAACACACTTTTCCCCGAAAAAGTCATCCCGGGTCGGGAGCTCACCTGTGATTTCCCTGTTGACGTTGGCAAAGCCCGCCGCTGTAGTCTCCTTTGAGGCCATGGTGCGCTCCTCCCGCCTGTCCGGCACCCTTCTCCTTCCTCTCCTCTCTCAGATGTCTCTTTAGGCAATCGCTGTCCACTTCTTCCCTCCCCCCTTCTTCTTCTTCTTCTTCTTTTTCTTCTTTCAGCGCCTGCAGGTGCTCCGGGCGCAGCAACAGTCCGCACAGTGTGGTGAGAAGCGATGCCGCGGTGCGCAGTGGCAAACCCGAGGAGCGCCTCCGACTTCAGCACTCAGACAAGAGAGAGAGAGAGAGAAAGGGGGGGTGAGAGAGAGGTTTGAGATACTCTTCATCATCTTTAGGTCACCATCATTTGTTTGAAATAGCAGATGTACCATAAAAAATAGACAAAGGAAAGAGTCCTATTGTTAAATTGCAGAGATTCTAGGCTTCCAGGCGCCCTAATAATTTACATGTTTTAAACGGTAATAACTACACTTTTCATATATTTTTAATTGATTGATTCTTACATTCAAAGGTAATCACTTGCTGATAAATCATGATTTTGGCTAAAAACAATAACAATAGAACACTTTCTAGTCAAATCTTCAAATGTCTTTGCTGGGAAACAAAGTGAGACGGTTTTACCTTGTTTTAAGCGACAGAATCTTTGATGTGCTGCTTAGACAAAATTACTATAACAGGAATTTAGATTTGCTCGTTTGATTGGAAAGAAATACCATATAGAAAACTAAGTGTGGAAACAATCAGGGTGGATTTTCAGGCTTAAATACAACCCTGAGCTCGCATGAAAAGTGGCACTGTACAGGAGTTCCTATATGTTTTGGCAAAACAAGTATGCACTGCTATGTACTCTATACATAAGGAGGAGTCCTAATAGTGAAAGAAAAAACCCGTTTTAGCATCAAATCATGCATAAAATATCTAAAGCTAAAGTGTTCATTGTGCAGAATCATATGTATTATAATAATGGGTCAGGTATGGATTCGTGAATTGTATAAACCTTATCTGTTAAATATTGTAGCAGGAAATTATTTTAATTATAGTACTGGTTATTTATATACAGTGTAATATACAAGTAAATATAAAAATATTCAGAAGAATACATAAGAAAGTAGCCTAATACAGTCAAAGTACATTTAAAATTGACTTCAGTAAAGTACTTAAATAAATGTTAGCATACATTTAACCACCTATATGCTCTTGTAATAGCCAATGACTGTAGAAAACAGTCTACAGTAATTGGTAATAGCATATATTAGCAACTGCAAGCTACTGTGAAATTAACTAGTCCATTGGCAGTAGTTGAGGGAGGAGGGAGCTTTGTTTTCATTCTACTAAAAACTAAAAACATTTTTTTAACATATATCAAAAATATTTTCAAAGTTGAACTTTTTCAAAACGTTTCCGGCCATAATTTTCATCAGCGTCTTAGCATGCTCACCAAATTAACTAGCTAGCCTTAGCTACAAATAGTAATTCAGAACTTTTCCTAGCCACTACTTTGGCCTAATAATTTACATGTTTTACACTGCAATAACTACAGTGTTTCATATATTTTTGATCTGCCGATTATTAATTAATTCAAATGGTAATCACTTGTTAATGAATCATGATTTTTTTTTCATATAAGCCTATAAATACTAGCCTATACAATAGTTTCCAAAAAGCTCCTTAGCATGTTCATCAAATTAACTAGCTAGCTTTAGCTATAAATAATAATAAAATAATT